GTGTGTGTGTGTGTGTGTGTATGTGTGTGCAGGCACGCACACATGTGTGCACATGGAGATGTGAATGTTCTTGACTGGGGGCCAGAGATTAAGTTAACATCAAGATAGTTTTCCCAATTGCTTTTCCACTTCATATTTTTGGTCAGGGTCTCATTGAGCCTAGAGCTCACATTTGGTTAAACTTGCTGTCCAGTAAGCCCTGGGGATCTGTCTGTCTTTACACCCCAGCCCTGAGCTTCCAGGAGCATACCACCTCATCTAGTAAGACCTGGACTCAGATCCTCATGTTTGTATGGCAAGCATTTGCCTCAATACAACATCTTCCCTGACCACACAAGATATTTCATATGCCTTTGCTTCTGTTATGTCTATGTTTCTGTGGCTACGAACACATATGGCTGGAGACTATTGAAAGTAACTTTCCGTTTTGATTTAGCTGGCCTCCTTTCAAACAAAAATTTGAAAATAAGAATTGCTGTGGGGCATAGAAACAATCTTACATATATGTAGATGAAAATCATGATGCTATTAGTTAAAATAATATTTTACCCATGGAAGAAAAATTAGATGATACCTTCCTTAGAAATGACAATAATAGGGCTAAAGAGATGGCTCAGCCATTAATAGCTAGGCTCACAAAAAAAATTAAGAAATAGTAATAATAAGCAAGCAAAATTTAATGTGAATAGAGAATTCTGTCAGAAATTTCTGAATGAAAATAATGTCTGGCAGCATTCTTATGATTGCATTTCAATGAATATTCAAAACAAAAGCACATAGTCTATTTAATACAGAGAACATAAAATAAAAGGTATAGGATTATAAAGGGAGCCTATTGTACTGGTCTACCAAACAGTTCATCACACAGATCAAACTAATACAGATTTCATTCACTAGATAGATAGACAGATAAACTGTCATCTATAAAAAGGCTTCTCATCTTATAATGTTTAGTAATAATTTCATAAGATAAAACAGAAAAGGAAAGATTTATTGCTTCTGTGCCACTAGGATCAAACATGTAAGGCAAGCACTCTACCAATGAGCTATATTCTAAGTCCAGGAAAAAATTTAAGATTATAATAAATTATGAAAGACAGGGAGTCTATGGGAATAATATCTCTAGAAAAAGGGAAAAACAAGAGCAAAGATACAAGAGGCAAATACAAGGTATGTGACAACTAGAATTTAAACAAAGATGGGTTACAAAAGTTGAGGAAATATTGCTATATAGACCAAAGATCATATCTCAAACGCTACTGTTTATCAGTAGGAACATGTCAACTATTGCATTAGTGACACTGCCTTTGGAGAGACTAGGACTTACTCTCCAACATTCCTGATGTTCACCGTGCCTAGGATGGACAAACACAGAACATATTGTTCTGACACTGTGAAGAAAACTGGATGGGTGAGAGAACTTTTCCCAGGAAACCATTTCTGTTAAGAAAGAGAGTGCAAGGAGCAAGATATCTGACATTCTGAAAAGTTTCGACATGTTTATTGAGCAATGGGAAGGCAGTGATGAACACGAATTCTGCATCAAGGAGTACAGTGAAAACAAGAAAATGCACAATGGAAGATATGCACTGTGAGAGAATGACGGAACCCCTCAGGAAAGGAACCTAGACTATGACGTCACTGGATAGGTGACATACAGCAGAGAAGCTAAGCTCTGAAGTCAGGAAGACTTCCTGCATCTAGAGATATACTAAAAATTGTTATGGGTAGGTTAAGGGTTAGGGATAAGGGTTATGCATAAGTTAAAATCAGAGTTAAAGAGGATCCATCCATATGGGTTGTGATCCCAGCATTCTAGAGGCTATGAGAGCACAGCTGGAGGTTGAGACAGTATCTGATTTACATAGCGAATTCCAAGGCAGCCTGAAAAAAAAGTGAAAAAAACGAGGCCCCACATGCTTGTGCTTGAGAAAAGACCAGAGGACAGGAGGAAACAAGCTTGGCAACCTGAAGCAAGAGGTCTCTTGTTTTGGTAGTGGAGTTCTGTTCATGACTTTCCTTATTTGCTTTGTTAAATACAAATGCCCCTTAGAAGTTTTTAACAAAGACAACGTTTCCTTGAGTGTATATGAAAAAGGAGTACAACAATTTTTTAACTTGTTACCTAGTTTACTATAATAGTATTTTTAAATTTTATGCTAAATAGCAAAATTTATTTAAAAGGTAAAAAATATATTAAAGGTAAAACAGCATTTAAAATTTTTTAAAACTTGTGTGAAATGAATCAAATTAATTGTTTTAATGAAAGACAAACATTTTTCGATAATTACTAAAAATATTACCTTGGACAAATCTCTGAAATTGCTTGGCAAGGTAAGGTCTAATTCTTCTGACTCATAATTAGTGATGACCCAGGGAAACACAGGATACTGATTCAGGTCATTATAACTCCGCCCTAGTAAGGAAAAAATACCACTTTTAATTTAGTGTAAAACATGAAAGATTATTAAAAGTAAAAATAAAAACTCATACTTTGGGTGCAGTTTATTGTTATTAGCCTTAATGTTTGTTACTTCATTTTGCCTTTGAAATCACGCAGTGAAACTGATATCATTAGTATTACACACGTTTTTGATGAAAACATCTAGGCTAAAAGGTTCAGTGCTTCCCCAAATCACATGACTAGTAACGTTGAAAACATACTCAAATTTATGTATGTGGTTTTAAAGTTTATGTTCTGTCAAACTCACTTGACTTTGTTATCTGAAAGCCAATTCCAAATCAAGAGCTCTTTTTGGAGTGAGGGGAGAGCTGGGAATTGGATCCAAGATACTGAGCATGCGAAGTACATGCTCTACCACTGAGTATAATCAAAGCCACAAAATAATGTTTAGTAAGACTAAAAAAGAATTTATTCTCATAGAAAAGTTCAAAATGACAATCATTTTCTCTGCTGCCACTTAGTTAATCAACCAACTAGTCAAATATTCACCAATTTTCAATTAACCAACCAACCAGGCAGTCAACCAACAAGCAAGGTTAGTGACACCTCATTTAACAGGAGCACACCTGTACTAAGCACCCCTGAGATCCTGCAGCACCTTCCTGACTGAGGCTCTGGAAATGATACACAGTACCATCACTCTCTCTCTGTCCACCATGAATGCTCTTCAATACTGCTAAACCAATGACTTACTTTCTGACATACTGACACTCATTGCAAATATGCATGCTAAAGACGAGGTAGCCTTTGTACATTATATACCAGTTTCTGGGTGTCACCATTTTAGAGAAGTGGCAGAGAGCATGGAGTAATTGATTCTGCTGTCAAGATGCAAACGTGAATCCTGGATCTACTGTTTATCAATCTATAGCCTATTTTTAAATTAAACTTATATTGAAAAGATTTTATAGCTGAAGTACAAGGGGGAAGAGACTATTAATATTGGTTAATATTTTTTATTTTATTTTTATTTTAATTTTCTCTCTCAAAGATATGCTGATATCATAACAGACACAGCTGAATATTGAAGTAATTCTTGATACATACTATTGACATCAAACCTGATGTAGTTAACTAGGTTTCCCTCACTCTTCTTGGGCTTGAGGCTTATTAGGACAACCTAATGACCTGGGAAGTCTTACAAAAACTTGTAAGTGTACTGTGTGTGCAGGGGCCCTCAAAGGCCAGAGGAAGCCATTGTATCAGCTGGACCTGGAGTTGCAGGTGATTCTTAGCCACCTGATGTGGGTTTTGCAAAAAAAGTACAGGTTCTTACCTGCCGAGCCTCAGTCTATCCACATCTTACAAAATTTTAACAAGAGGAACACTTTTAATTCAAAGGATATTATATCATCACACTGTTACAGTCTTAATTTTTATTTTTCTCAGAAAAATAACCAAGCACATTAGAAGTCATTTTTTCACTTTTTCAGCTTTTACTTTCTTGATATAATTTAGATATTAGCAGGCAGTAACTCCTTCATATTGTCCTATCTGGCTTAATAATCTCAATAATTAAAAGCTCTTTAAGAGTATGAGCTGCTCAGTGATTAGACTTTAATTACACTAAACCTAAACTAGCTACTAAACAATTACTGACTATGAAAGATATCATGAGAGTATACGAATCTACACATGGCACAGGACACTTGTTATCTAAAATAAGTCAGGGTGTGCATTTTATTTACCTGCTATTGTGTTGAGAAACATAAGGTACTCGAAGTTTGAAATTTCTCTGTGCTGCCAGCGCTGAGTCATATTTGAAGCTTTAAATAGTTGACGTGGAGTGGCTAATGAAATACGCCTGCAAGAAGAGAATATGAGACAAAAGTAACTTAATATTAATTATACCATAGTAATAAATCATGAATTGTCTGTACTCACTCAATATTCTTAATGAAATTTATAATTCTGAAAATTAGTATCCATGTCAGATCAATGAGTATTAGCAATGTTTCAAACTACTATTGAGAAATACCAAATGATTTATACTAGTAATAAGTACACTATTTATGTTCTGCTCATTCAGATAAGCAGTCATAATGTCATTGTAATATTTGGGTTGGATACAGGTCGATTAAAACAGTATGATCACTGACTCTACAAAAATGCATAAAATTGAATTCACATGTCTATCAGCTTTATAAAACATCCCTCAAAGATTAAACGTATACATTATAACTTAAAATATTATATTTTCTCAGATTCTATAACAAGGGAAAAGAGAAATCTAAGTAATCTGTAGGATAGGATGAAGGCAGGAATTATTGAGAACTTTACTTTGTAAACATAATTCCTTAGAAGACCCAGTTAGAGGAATGTAAGTTCTTGGATACAACTGGCCAACAGAGGAGTGGGAAACAGGAGTGGAGTGCAGGGGTGGATGTGCAGGACTAATTAAAACATCTGATGCCAGGTCTCAGAGGTCAGTAGTGTCATGGTTCTTTCTATCACCAAGAGCCAAGCAATTACTTATTGAAAAGATTTACTGAGGCATAGTTAAATCTTACAATTATTCATTCTAAGAGCATAAAACTCAAAGACTTTAGAAAAATTTACAGTATTGCATTATTAGCACAATCCACTATATACCATTTCCCTTACAACAAAAACTACCTTCTCTGCATTTGCAGTCAGTCCCCTTTCCAAGTCCCACTTAGAAGCAATGAGCACACTACTTATGGCCCTGCCTTTTGTGGCCATTTCCTGTATTCACACATAGCATCATGGTCTTCTATCAGTCTTCTTACTAAGTGTTTTTGTTTTTTGTTTTTTGTTTTATTTGAAGCCCACCAAAACGACTGTATAACTAGCCATTTTTCTTATTGCTTTATAGTATTCTATTGTATGAATATAGAAACTATATTTTATAATAATTCATGCACACTTAAATCGCTTATGTTGTTGTGATTGTTATTACTGTGGACATTCACATACATATCACTGAATGAATATGTTTTTCATTTCCTTTGGAGAGATTCTTAGAGGTTGAATTGCTGAACTGTAGATTGAGTTTCTCCTCAACTATTTACCAAAGTATCAAACTCTTCCAAAATAGTGGGACTGCTAAATATTCTAATAAGCAATACAGAAATGATCCATACATCCTTGCCAACACCCATTATGAGATGTTTGTGTTTTTATTCAAGTAGAAATGCCTCATGGTTTCAGTGTCCACTGCTGAGTATGCTTCTGTGGTGTGGCCACTTGCTAACTTGGCCTGTGTTTGCTGTGTTGGTGATTTTTTTTATTGTTGTTTTCTTTAGAGAGGATTTTATCAGTTTCTTAAAATACTTTTTTATTGCTACTCAGTCCAGGGTTTACAAATATATGCCAGAATTTGTCTAATGTTTTTCCTTGAGGTTTTGGTAATTTTGTTTATTAAGAAATATATATTTATTTCCAGACTTAAACTTATCTGCATTTCTAGCTATTTGATAATGATTTACCCATACTACTGAATTTGGTTTGGTAAATTTCGTTAAGGATTTTTTGTATGTGTCCACAAGAATTACTGACTCGTAACTGTTGTCTGTTTTCTCCTCATGAGGTGCACTGCCCATACGGAGTGAGTCAGGAGGTGTTTTACTATGTTTGTTTTACTATGTTTGTTCCACATACAGCTGTTATAATCTTTATTATTCACCTTATTCCACTGCATTTAAATTTAGGTCACTCTTCAGTTTACTAAAGAAAACTTAGGAGACTGAGATGAGAGAATTCTGCCTTTCAGATAAAGACGTTCAAAGTAATAAAATTTCTCTCACTACCTTAGTCACATCCCACATGTTTTAATTTGTTGCAGCTTTGTTGTAGGTTTCAAATCACTACCCTTCTCAGTCCTATGAGAAGAGGAGTTGCTAAGCACAGGAGTGGCAGAGCATGGCTTCCCAACAAAAAGAACAAAGCTCCAAACCTAGGCATTCTGTGAAGGCTGCAACATGAAGTAGATAAGAAAAACTCTCTCCCCGGCATGTCTTTTATGCCTCTCTGTAAGACAGCTGCTAGAACCTGTTATGGTAATTTGAATCAGAATCACCCCCATATGCCAAATATTTGAATACTTGGTCCCCAGTTGTTGGAACTATTTGGAAGAGGTGAGGAGGTGTGGCCTTCTTTAAGAAGGCCTTTTCTCAAAAGTCCGTGCCTTTTACAATTAGGTCTTTCTTTGCTTCCTACTATGGATAAAGATGTTCTCAGCTGTTATGGCAGCATCATGCCTGATGCTTCCTACTATGATGGTCATATACTCTAACCTTCCAGAACTAGAGCCCAATTTAAATGCTATCTTTATGTTACCTTGGTCATGGTTCTTTGTCATGGCAACAGAAAAATAACTATGGCACCTGTGATATAAGGTCTGTTTTCCTGGCTAATTTTCTAGTAAAGAATAAAAAATTCAAGTGCTGAGACAAGAAAAAACCTTCTTGTGAGTGGAAAAACTCAAATGACTCTTGAATGAAGCCTTTAGTCTTATGGATTAACTTGATATTAAGTCTTAAAATTAGTATTGTGCAAGTATGGAGCATATTCCTGAAAAGTTAAATTTAAAAAAAAGTAAAAACTTAAAATTTTTTTAAAAATTAAAAAAATTAAAAATTAAAAAAATTAAAATTTAAAAAATTTAAAATTTAAAAAATTTAAAATTTAAAAAAGTATTAAAAATTTAAAAACTTAAAAAAAAACAGCAGGAAAAGTGATCAGACCCTGCTGTGTGCCATCAGAGGTGGGCTATTATTTAGCACAAATGTCTCCACCATCTTACATCCTACTGGCTGATAGATAAGTCACATGTCTTTGCCCAATGTCCTCAAGTGCAGGGTTATCATATCTAAACTGAAAATCTCATAAACAACAGAATTTTTACCCCATTAACCAAGTACACATTGTTGATATTGAGTGGGTAAAATCACATTAAACCACTGCAGTCATAAATAGCTGCTGCAAAATGCAACAGGCATTGTTTCCTCTGTCTTATTGACTTCCTGTCAGATCTAATTATATGAAAATACTACCAACCCTTCACATCACATTCCCCTAGATCTGTACTTTAGATGTTTTGTTCATTGAGGGGGAGGGATACTGTCTTCCTTCCTTCCTTCCTTCCTTCCTTCCTTCCTTCCTTCCTTCCTTCCTTCCTTCCTTCCTTCTCTCTCTTCCTGCCTTCCCACTTGCTTTCTAGTTAACATTTGCTTGATATATATATAGTCTTAATTACAATGGCCTTATAAGCTTTACAACTAATGTTAACAATCCCTGGGATGCAGATGAAATCACTCCCTGCTATGGCTCCTAATCTCATGCACAGGACACCTAGTCCCAATTGCCAGGTTCCTACTTATTGTTTTACATATTTTCTGGAATCTAATTTCCTATTAGCATTTACCACTGAGCATTTCTTTTGGGTTTCAATTTCAGTATAACTAAAACCAAGCTTATTTTCTCTCTGCTTCCTCCCTATAATCTCAATCATGAAGACAAAAACATGAGAGCCATCCACAACCATTGCTTCTCTAGTGCTGTTGACTTCAGGAGCTCAAGCTGAGACTAGAGAAGACATACTGAACATCCACCTTCTCATATCAGTCTTCAAATCTTATATAAGTTATATTTCCTACAATTCTCAAATCAGGATGCCTCTGTCCACTAACATTACCATTGCCATTCTGTTAGTAATTTGATTTTTATATCAGCCTCGACACTCTCTTCTGAAGTCACTAAGTCCCACCGTTAGTTGCCCTTTAATACTTTTCCAGAAAAATAAGAGCTAAGCCATGCTTCTAGGCTTCTGTAAAACTGTCTCCTCCTTCAATGCTGGACTGGTTCTGTTTCTTGGAATAAAACATAACAGCTTCATAGGAATACATTTAATCAGTTTATCCAAAGAAACCCATCTTCACAGCTACTTGGTTCACATATTCATTGGAGTATCTATGGACAATGGGATGTCTATGCTGTATATTGCTGAGTGTCTCTGATATAATTTAAGGGCTGAAAATCTATTTCAGAAATTAATGAATGAATTAAGACTTTTATTTTTCACTGATTGTGATAAAACAATACAAAGAGTACTAGAGGGGATAAAAAACCTTGTAAAATAGTTATCAGTAGAAAAGGCCTTTTAAAAACATCTATCTATGTATCTATCTATCTATCTATCTATCTTTCTATCTATCGCTATATCTATCTATATATATCTATATATATTTATTTATATAGATACTAAGGATTTAACCCAATGCCATTCTTATGCTATGTAAGCAATCCGCCAGTGAGTCATGTCTTAGCCATGAAATGGTATTATATAGTCTAAATCAATTCTGATAGTATAAAACACTATCTAATTCATAAGAGTTTTGCTATTTTCATATAAAAGTAATAAACTGAGGCATTTAAAAAACTACATAAGAACTGGTACTTAATCTTTTTCCTGGGAGCTGAGCTGTCCTTAGTGACTTACTTGAGGTGAATACATTGGAGCAGAGAAGACAGTGTTACTATCAAGGGTAAGTCACATAAAGCTCTGTGACTTCTGTATCACTTTCTCTTGGATTGCTTTCTCAGCAGGAAGCTATTCCCATGTTCCGTATTCACTTATGGAACAGCAGATAAAGAGACAGCTGAGAAACTGAGGCTTACTACAGAGAGGCAGATGACAAGGATTCCTACTTCCAGGGGAAGCTCCTACTTAAAACGGGCCATTGTTTGCACAGGACATATCAATTGCATCTGTGACAGGATATTACCATAACATATGAAATAAACAGAAATAAATACATGCCCAGGACAGAGATATGCCCCAGTGGTAGACTGCTCACTCAAAATGCTCAAGGACATAGGTTTGATTCTAAGCAACACAAAAACAGAAAGTTAAAATGTTTCAACTCAACAAATCAGGCATGCTAACAGTAAACTGTCCCTTCCTACTCATAAACACTTTCCAACTAATTTGTTAAATGTTAACTCATCTGTATTAGCAGTGAATCAATTATAGAGAGAAATACTAGGCTTACCATAGCTAGCTCAGTAAAAAGACTCCTCCACGCTCTAAGTCCTATACCATGAGATATTCTGTGTACTAAACACTAGAAAACACTGATGGGAGAAACCAAGCAAGACATATGAGGAAATGTAGTCTATATTATGGATTGTTTAAATGTCCTTTTTTCCTTTGCCTAGCTAGGGAGTTTTATGTGTTTGTTTATTTCAGTTTTTTCAAAAGAATCACTGAATTTTAAGGTGTCTATATTATTTATTTCTGCTTTAGACCTTGTTTTCTTGTTCATTCTAATTTTAGACTTACTTTGTTTTAAAACTTAACATCAGTGGTCTGATAAAAAACACTGAAGGACTAATAAATAAAAAAAAATTCAACCCCAAATTATGAGTTATACTAAGTATACCGTGAAAAAAGTTTAAGAACAATTTTTTAAAAATTCAGTGTGATAAAATAGTTCAACTATATAGAAGAATTAGGGATGCACCTTCAAAGCACTTATTATATTATAATAAAAAAAGTATATTCTTGATGAGAGTATATCAAGTACACGTACTGGACAGTCATCATCTCAGGCAAGAAATATAAGCAACATGTCATAGGCCTTCTTAATACATATTCATGAACTACTACTCTCCAAAAATGAGTTAGTGTCCTGGCAATAACTTTAGGCACTGGAGTCACATTTACTGGTTCAGAATATTATGTAAACAGAGGGGACTGTCCCTGCTTCCATCACTAAATTCATCATTGTTGTTAAACATGACAAACATTGGTCATTCACTGTAATAGATTCTACTGTATAAAAACATCACTTTACTTATTTTCCTGATGCTAATGAACTTGCTTTCAGTTTGAGACTATCATAGATAGTACTCATACAAACACTGCTATGTACACTTTGTGGTAAACATGAACAGGTGTTTCTGCAGGACCTATATCTAGGACTAATACAGTTGGATTTTAGGGCATGTAGGATTTGCTGATGTGAAGTTTTATTTTGTTTTCAAAGAGACTCCAAAGTGCCTGTATCAATTTACAACCTTTGTATGCAACACTCCTTTCACTTTACATCTGAATAATATTTATCTTTCTGGGTTTTGCCCTGTTAATTAAAATATAGTGGTTTCACATAAAAATACATACCTTTTCCCCAAAGGCCAAAGCAAGAAGCATAAATGAAACTTTCTGGTGTGTGCATGTGTGTGTGTATGTGTGTGTGTGCATGTGTGTTTGTGTGTGTGTCCATGGGTGTGTGCATGTGTGTGTGTGCATGTGTGTGTTTGTATATGTGTGTATTTATTCATGCATATACAAATGCCTTGGGGGAGAGTTAGAAAACTTTTTCTTATGGTATTTGCAAATATGTACTTTGAGGGATACTGCACCTTTTTATATTATGATTCAGTTGGCTAAAGATAAAACGTAACTCTAATAACCATCATTTATTAAGAAACAAAAATCAGAAGGAGAAATTTCAAAACAAATACAAATGTTAATACATGTTAATTACCAAGACTTTAATCAGAATATTTCCTTTTTTATTTACATTTTCAGATAACATGGTACCTGGTTTGAGGTAATCCAAAGCTGGTTCCCACGCCAACTCGAGGTAGACAGTTCACCACTTTCTTTACTGTGGCAGGGTCTGGGAAGTTGAACATCACAGCAACTACAAGTATGTTTTAAAAATTAGAATAGAGTAAATCCTTCTTGGAAAATGACTTCCTGATTCAATAGAATATTTACTCTTGGTTCGAGTACCTCAAATACAATGAGTACTACATTCCAGTGGTGTAGTAGGAATCCTCTAACAGGTCATATGTGTTTTATTCAAAGACTCTGATCCCATACACAAGTGTTTCAACAGTATTCACAGAAAATGTAAAAACTGTCTTCTTGTATAACATGAAGTTGAGAGTATATAGGGACAACTGTGAAAATACATATTCAATGTTCAGAACTCCAAAATCTCAGCATGAGTGAGTTTCTAGAATTATTTAAACTAAAACTAAATTTAAACTTAAATTAAAATTTAAAGTTACATACCTACTATTAAAAGGTACACACACAGCTAAGAAATAATCTATTGTATATCGAGTAATGATCCATTAGAAATCAATTTTCTTTATAATACTTTCATGTTTTTTATTTTGCAAATTAACGTCAACTAACATTTGTGTCTAGAAATAAAAGTTTTCATTATGGTTCTTATGCAAACTTAAAGTGCTTTATAATAATTTAGACAATTACACATGGACTACAGTATCAAGAATCAATTAGCAATAAAATACCTTTGATATGTTAATTTTAAAAGTCATATGAAATACCTATCTTTTAAAAAGATAGTCATAAAATGATAAAAATTTATAAGATATTAATTTGTTTAGTCTCAAAATCTTATTTATGTATTAACAGTATTATAATCACATACATGCTACAAACTTATCCAGAAGGTAGTCTTCTGCTTGGTCAAAAAACCACTAAAGGTGAAAGAAATTATTATGTTGCTGTAGCTTTTCAGCAATGGATTTATTAACAAGTTCTAAGCAAATAACAGATCATTCACTAAGTACATATAAAGTATCTTGTAATGCTATGTACATGTAGTGTTAAAATAGGGCTTCCTTACATACCTACTCTTATGTAAAATATTGGGGAGAAATGAAAGAATAAATTACTGTAGGTTATGTCAGAAGACCTAGCTAGATGAGAAGTGACAGAAAACACACAAACTCAAGGATGTCTACAGAAGTCTAAGGAAGGAAAATGAATGAAGATGAGCAAGTGATCAGTGCTAGAAGGTTGCCACGACTTCTGAACAAGGCAGATTGAAATAAAGTGTAAAGTAACCTCTCAGTTATTCATCTAGAGGAATAATGCTTGCATTAGCAAACAGTTGTGTGGGTTATAGAGGAGCTTATAAGAAAAGAAAAAGCTTGTCCCTAAATGTGCCTATATTCTCTGTAAACATATGCTATTAATCAGGGAGAAATGCATGCATATATGTTTTTATGTGGAGATATAAACATGGAGATTACAAAACAAATAAGAAACCATCAGCCTACATATATACAAGTTAGAAATGCAACAAAGATGCCAAGTTTTATATGTTTTCCCTTTTGGACTCCACTCATAAACAAAATTTTTCCTTCAAGTTCAACTTCTCTACCCTTGCAGTCTTGATGTATCTCATCGAGTTACATGTTAAATCCATAAGCAAAACTTAAGTTCAACTTTTAAAAATGGACAACTTAGTACCTTCCTTCTGAATTTTTAAATAAATAGCAATAGGTTAAATAAAAGACAAAATAAATATATGAATCATTTGATCATATTTTGTCCCCAAATGTAGCCACTTATTAGCAGTAATCAAGGCAATGCTGAATACATGAAACTCCACAGCTGATTCAATAGTTAAACTACAGAATATTCATATTTATAGAACATTGCACCAATTTGTGAAATAGTAAGAAAAACAAAAGACCTACAAATTATTCTAAAAATGATGGGAGGGGAAGGGAATAAAAATCATATGACAGTTGGTGAGATGCAAGAGATGAGGTCAACAGGGCAGAGGGTAAACTACAGATCCAATCTAAATAGAAACAATATGGTGTGTTCAAAAGTGACATCCCAAATGGGGGTAAGTTAGCTCTTTAACAATGTACTTCTGTAACGTATTACCTCTGTTTGCCATAAAGATCTCCAGGGCTGTATTTTGCAAAAGATAACGACGAGAAAAGATTGATCTTATCTCTGTGAACAGCCATTTTCCATGCAGACCTTCTGTATATGCCAAGATCTAGTGAGAGAAAAGATAACCCCAATTAAGTCATAGTATTGCATTCTGTTAGTGCTGTTTCTCTCTAATTAAAATAGAAAAGGCTCTATTGAAATTTTTTCTAAGAAAAATAACTTAATAGATAATGAAATCATTTGGAAGGAAAGGAAGAAAATGGGTTGTAATTAGTGAAAGGACAACCTAGATGAAAAAGTAGACTGATATTATTAAATCTCTACTTACAATTATGTATTTGGGCTTTTAAAAGCGAAGTAATCTATTCTCAGAAAATATATGTAGCCTTATTTACTAATCAAATTTAAATCTTTTCAGAGAAACAATGTTTCAGATAAAACTTCAAAAGTAAGAATTCAAAAGAACGACATATGCTTTTGGTCACTTACAACAATGGATTTTACATGTGACTACAATTTTCCCAGGGGTGCCTTTTACCTGCTTAAAAAATGTGTTAGCTCATTGGTAAGGAAAAAAAATCAGAAAACACAAAGATTAAAGGTATAAGGGGTTAAGTATCATTTTGTCAGTCAAAGCTAAACATAACCCTGCAAATTAAGCTCAGCGTAATCTCTCCATGGAGTGGGTGGCTGTCAGAGTAACTTGTTACAATTCCTGTCATCCCATGTGACAGACACAGTTGCTTAAAATGCTTTGCCAATTCAAGGTAATCCCGTCTTTAGTTCTAAGCCATTTTGGTGCTTTGTTATTCAAGGTTTGTTTTCGAAAAAGATCATTTCAAAAGCTTAATTATGAGAGTCTGAAAGGAAGTCAGATTTAGCATTTCTCCAAGAAAATCAAATGTCATTCCTATCAATAGCTGATAAAAATCTATGAGCTCAGTTAAGTTAAAAATTAAGATAAATTTCTGTAACCCAAGTCCCACTAAACAATAAACTGAACCAACCTGTGATTATGATACTGCATGACAGGGCAAAAGATGAAATGGACCCCGAAAAAAACCCTCCAAGTGGTGGTCTACCCCACACCCCATGCTCTGTTCACATCCAATTCACAGGCCTGAACTAAAATCAACCTATACTCTTCAGTGCACAATGCAGATTCTTAGAAATTTAAAAAACCTAACTTCGTTCAGTTATTTTTTCAACTTTTCTATAAGAACTCTTTTTCTGATAAAAGGAAGGTTAGAAAACAGAACTTTGAAAAGTTCTACAAAATCTTCAAAGAACCAGACAAGTACTCATCTCTCAGTTTTGAAGTTGGCAATAAATGTTCTATTTCTCATTTTCACAACAAATAGTAGGACAAATAAAATCCAGAGAAAGAAAGAACAGACGGGGTGGTGATGGTGGTGGGGGTTGTTTGTTTTGTTTTGAACTCCTTGTTTTCTTCTCTGCCTGGAATGTTCCTCCAAATCTCGAGGCATTTTTACTGCAGCATCTAGAATTGAGTTCCTCTCATCTTTCCCACAACCCTAGATTTTCACTTCACCTCTTCTAGCAAAAGCAACCACTTTAAACTTCCTAAAAGGTCTTTATATTACTTTGTACCATCTCAAGCTATAATAAGTACTTGTTGGATTTTCCCCTCTCCTGCTTTAAAGGACAGAATCTCAGTAGTTCAGGAAGACCTTCAAACACTTTTTCTACAACATTAACAATGGCCTGAAGCATCATTTTTAAAATGGCTAAGTGAAATCCAGTAGCCTAAGCCCCACAATGGCTCCAATGTTTGCTTTGCCATTCATCTCTCTCCCTTCCCTCCTCCTCTTTCTCCCCCTCCCTTTCTCTCTCTCATGAAATGGGTCACAAATGATCTTAAGATAATTTTGATTAGTGGTATATATTAGGAAAAATAAGTAGCTGTATTTTCTAATTTAAAGTAAATAATCATTTATAGCCTGATTAGTTTCTATGCATATGAGTTTACCAACCTGGAGTTATCTAAATAATATGTTGTTAAGAATATATTATATATTGTATGTTTTATAAACTTATAATAATATATTTAATGATTCTAGTCATAAGTAAAATGTGGAAAGGTAAAGACATGTTAAATATTGAAACAGAGTCTCTTCACAAGTTAGTGTCAGAGTCTAGTCTACTCCAAGTTTTCAAATTCCAAAGTCCAGAGCTTCCATTGCACTCTACATTGTCTTGCTCTTCAAATGCATTATACAGTCAGGAGTGTGCTGCACACATATAATCTCAGTACCCAGAAGGCTAAGGTGTGGGTATTATGAATTCAAGGCTTCTCTGGCCTGCAAGTCAATGATCTGTCTAAAGAAAAGGGGGTTGTGATTAAAATAGAACTTGACTTATAGAAAATTTAATAAACTAGGTTTCTTGTCCTTTATTTAAATTAACATTGAAAGGAGAGAACCAAAACAAACAACACAGTGTCCCGTAAGTGCCTTGACATGTGAGAAGTGTTGTACACTGGTGTGAAAGTTCCATGTCTCTTAAGCATAGAAAGCTCTGGTGCTTCCTCTTGCTCACAGCAATGATGCCAGCACTGCACAGACATGGTAACATGGCCAAAGAGTTACCTCATTCTAGATTCTCCATTTATTAATAGAAATAAGTATGCTAACATGCTATTTTTAACATTTTTAATATACTCTGGTAGTTTTAGGATTCATCAAAATACCATGTATATTCTATTGACCTAAACCACAGCGGCATTCTCCTTTAAACTATGTTTTATTTTAACAAATATAATTGAAAATTACACTAAATAACATAAGCCCCATGTATACTCAATCTTATAAAATCTTATGCTTTTGTCAAATTGTTGGATACATTTAAAAATTAAAGCAGTACAGTGTTGAAATTCCTGCATCTAACATTCCTGATCTAGTTTTTCTTTCTTATAGCCCATCACTATCTTTGAGGTTTATCATTCATATGTATATTTAAATTACCTAAAATGTATTCCAAAAACTGAAACCAGTGTTGCTGTATATGTGTCCAAGTATGATATAAACAGTGGTATACGGAAAGAGTACCAAAGAAGGCTTCCAAAGTTAAATATAAAGTCTCATAATATTTTCAAACTCAGAAAAACAGAAAAGCCAGAAAATTATATACATTTGTCTAAGGACTCAAATTTTAAAATCTTTTAAAAAAAAAAAAACAGCCAAATTTAAAAGAAAGTAACAAATGGGAATACTGCTATAGTCAACTTGTAGCTTAAAATAGAAATGGAGACTCTCCTAACTAAAGAATTTCTACCTGAAATTGCGATAACATTTCTTGAAAGTATTCATTAGGAAGATATGTCAGCACTGGAAAGCAGCCGAGGCCTGGCTGAACACAAGGTTCATTTCTTCCTGGAACAAGAGTTCTGCGCCTGGTCTGAGGCTTCACTTCAAAGTCTCTAGAGTTCAATTAAAACTGGATTAGGTAGAAGCAGACCCTTCTTTGGGACTTTCTGTTCACTGGAACTCTACATATACTGACAGCACCCTAGACAGAGGTCTAGCCCTCCAATGAATCAGTTGCTATGGCAACCGTATCATTACCATTGCTCGGCAGTTATGACCCTGAGTCTAGAATAGCTTGAAAGCCTAAATCCACAGCCTTCTCTCTGAATTCTTACCACTTTGTTTTATTATTTTTAGTGTTATTAGTAAATTCAACTTTTAAAAATAATTTCTTTGAACAAAGCTGATTTACATATTAAGTGTGTTAGAATAAAAAAATCAGTATTTACATATAATATACAATACATACTAAATTTCTGCCTATTAAAAACCAAATGTAGCTTCTATGAAAGAGTATATATCATATTCTCCAAACGCAGATGTATTTTTTCTACTCTACATATAGCTTCTTATAATTACATCAGAAAATTCTTTTACGATGCTGCAGTTATATTTAGCTTCAATGTAAAGCATTTCATTTTATTAGAAACCTTATTTTCTCATCCTCAAGAAAGAATAAAAATAGAAACTCACATTTTTTAGCCCAATTATATGAAATCTTATTTATACTTTAAAAATAGATTTCAAATATTTAAAGCTATGTTTGTATCACTCTAGTGAAGGAGCAAAGAGGGAAGGCCTTGTTACAAACAAAGTACCTTCAGTAAAATTTAAATATTTTAACATTATTGTAGATGGGAAAAATTTAGGTGGAAAATATTTTATCCAAAAGATAGGAAATAGTTACACCAAAGTCGGAATATATGAAAATCAAGAAGCAGACGTCTATCCAGTTGAAATTAAAAAGGGCTGCTTAAAGAACATACTATTAGTAAACTAGTCCAGCCACACTCACTTTTAAACACTTCCTAATTTCAGTGGTTTTACTCACTCAGATAACACAATATTGAATTCTGAATAATTTGGCAATAAGAAGCACAAAATCACATAATAAATAGCAACCATAGTATTTGGAATTCCACAATAAAATGATTTTCAACCTATTCGGACATATTTTCTGTCAGGAGAGATGTTTTCAATCCAGTGTATAAACCAGAAACTAATAACATCCAGTAACAATGGCGCTCTAACTTAATGTTAACAGGATATTCTCTCTGTCCCAAAATTATCGACCATAAGTATAAACTATAAGCATAGGTCTTCAATTTGAGCATGGAAAGATATTCAAATATTCAAAATATTTAAAACAAAGCGCATGTTGAAAACTACTCTCCAATTAGTTCATGACTAAATATGTGTCAATATATATTGTTTCTAACAACCACAGTATGAGAAAATACGTTTAAAGAAATTTCATCAATTATTTAAACACTGCATTAGCAATGTTTTTTATATTTTGCTGTAGTTGTCTCTGAAATAATATCAGAATTTCCCTCTACTTTTCCTAAAAATAATAGATTCAGGCTGTTTTGAAGATTTCCTTTAAAAAAAAAACAACCACATGACTTTGTGTCTTATATACAAGAATATATTATTAAGCAAAATAAATAAAATAACAGCAAAATATAAATTACCTTTTGAGAAAGTGGAATACACAGTTGCTTCCAGTGGAGAATTTAAAATGGTAATTTTTGTTATAACTGACTATAATATTTAGAAT